GGTGAAGTTATGTTTTTATGGTAATTCTATTTCATTATCTTTAAAAATTGTTGTTAAACTAATTCTCAAGTTACTTTTTTTTATCTGGTCAAGTTACCTACATATATAGGTATTACTTTTGAGTTTTGGGTTAAAAAAGTAACGTCTTCACTCTTCATTACAATAAATGATTTATTTTTAATAAGTACTAGTGCATTATTATATAATATTATATCAGTATAACTACCTAGTGCAGTGGCGTATTTTGGAGGGGTTTCTTCCATGTCTGGACACCCCCCCCCCCCGGACTTCAAAAAAAGTCCTAATATATTGGACATTGGTGTTATCATTTATTCTATAGTATATTATTATACTATTTTTATGTTATTATAAAATAAATGGTATTTTTATATAAACGGCAAAACTTAAATTAATTTGATTAGATTCGACGATACCTAACCTAACCTACAATTTATAAGGGATATATTTACGATAATAAAAATATCTGCAGGCCGCAGAGAAAATACAACGAAAATATTGTGATTTGTGAATGTATGTAGTATATTTTAATCATGAACTAAGATAGACTATATAACTATATAGACAATATTATATATTAATATACCTAATATATATTAATAATAATATATATTCATGATTTTAATCTAGTTCACAGTTTATCAGTTTAGAGAATTATACATTTCATTATAAATGATACCAGTGGCGTAGTATAGGTAGGTATATGAATTATTTTCACTATGGGCTAATTTATAAGTTATCACTAGTCAAGCATAGAACGACTAACATAGCCATAATATAACTATACATTTTTTAGGAAGCTGGGTGTTATAATTATGACATACCTATACAGTACAAATAAAAATTGCGCAATTTAATTTTATAACTATTATATAAAATTAATTTTTTGATTCTTTTTTAAAAAATATTGACAGTGTCATTTATATATTTTAGTGTTATCTATTACTATGAATTTAACATTAAAGTCAATAAGTCATCAAAGCAAGTAATGAAAATCTAACATTTCCTTGTTGATTCCTCAAAAACGATTTTAATCAACCGGCTAACTTAATCATGGTGAAAAACTGTAAACAGTGTAAATATACATACAATGGTTTAATTGAACCTGCAATTTCATTATAGGCTTTGGCCTAGGGGACTCTCCCCTTATCTACGCCACTGTCCACTGAATAATACCATTTATTATAAATCAATGATTATACTATTATACTATTATGGTATTATATTATTTGACAATATATCATTCATTGTTTCGTCTATCGTCGTGCTGTACGTACCATACCGATACCGTCCACCACTGTACCAGGTGATGACTGAATAACGTAAGTACTTATTTATTCAAATACATTAAATAATTATTAACACATTGAGGACGAAAGCCATTATAGGACAATAAAATAAAATAATCCGAAAAAATATCGATATTCAATACCGATTCAATATAATTTATATTACAACTCTGAATTCAATGTAAATAAAATATTAGTAAGTTAATAATTCTAAAAATGTTGTTTGTGAGGTTCAATAAATGTTGGACCCCCCCCCCGATAAATCACCCAAAATACGCCACTGACCGGCAGGACAGCGTTAAATTTTTAAATTGTAGGATTTAGTTTCTATTATACCTCTTTGCAAGGCTGGGCAAGTTAATGGTTTATTCTTAACTCAGTTAAGAGTTAGGTTCATTATTATTTTTTTCCACTGGAATAAATTGTACCACTATTTGATAGAAAAATATGAAAAAAAGTCTTAAGCCCAGACACATAAAAACAGATTAAGATATATTGTATACTTGCTCAAAAAGTTATGATAAAATATAATATTGATACTATAATCTGTAACAATAACAATTTAATACGATTAATTATTGATAAGAAACCACTCAAACACATTTGCGCCGCTAGGGATTTGCTGGGGGACTTGTGTACCTCCCAGTTTGAAATGTCAATATGCACCCCCAAAAAATAAAATACTTTAGCCATTATATTAAATTAGTTCATTGTATAGTACGACTGCAGCGTCGCGTAAGTTTCCACATCACCTATGCTTGTTAAACGACATTATATCACATCGACCATGTTGTTTAAAAGTATGAGGTATCACACATGGTGCGTTTTTTTATTGCATTTTTAATCCACATCGCAAGCGAGAACACTCGAACGCCGAACAACTATACAATAATATTGTAAGTTAGTCCAGCTCTAGAATTGGAAAAAAAATTGAGGACGGACGCTGGTTTTAGTTCAAAAAACACCGTTCCATAGATGATAAATTGTAAAGTAACCAGCGCCGTAACTAGGCTACTTGAGGCCTGTGTGCAAAACCAAAATATTGAGGCCCCTTATTATCTTTTTCAATACACACCTCAAAAACTTTTTTTGCAATTTTTAAAGTCAGCAGACAAAAATTCGGGCTTAAACAAAAAAAAAAATGTTTAATTTAAAATAATCTATGATTTTAAAACAATTTCTCAAGGCTATAACTAACTCAAAAAAGTAAAAATTTTCCAAAATGTAATTTATTGAAAATATTAATATAAATATTTGGTAAAAACTTCAATGGTCTACGGTTATTAGTTTTCGAGTTATACTAAAAAATACAATTTTTGGTTTTAGGTAAAAATTACAATTTTTTTTTTTTATTGACGCTTTGTAATAAGTATCTAAAACTAAAAATTTCGGTTTTGATCTCCAAAAAGTACCAACTAGATTCACTTTTCTAACAGAAAAAATGCTGATCTCGAAATTCGGAATATTTTTACTATCCAATGTTGATGACCGACAGAAATGAAAAAAATTATACACATCTTGTAAAATCAATACATTTGTTCGTTCCTCTCAAAATCTAAAAACAGTGATCACGAGTCCATGCTATATAAAAAAAAATGAAATAACATTGGTTTCCTTTCCAAATCAATAATAAATAATTTATATATTTTAATAATTTTATATTAGTTTAATATTAGTCTTTAGATCTTTTGAGGCCCTTCGATATATATTATGAGGCCTGAGGCCTGTGTGCGGTGCACACTTTGCACACCCGGTTTTTACGGCACTGAAAGTAACCTGTTGTTACAGTCGTGTCCATTCCTGCAGCATCTCCACATCCGCTCCGGCCGCTCCGGATTAACATGTCCTGCAGTAGACCGGTCATCTCGTGGTCCGGTGGTTTTGTCGAGCCATTTGTCGATTCGGCATCACCAATTAACTGTGTTTCCATGTTCGGTATCCGACATCATAACTCCTGGACGTCGGATTCGACTGGCTGAACCGGTGGCAAAGTTGACGAGACCTATAATGTCTCGAAGTCGCTTACTCTTGTAGCGGCAGGTAACATTATTTCGCTGTTGGTCGATTCGTCGCGGACGGTGAATCCGCGTTAAAACTTTCATTTCCGTGGATGGGACGGATAGCGTCGTTTCTGGTGCATCGCCTACGGATTTTGTCTTGAATGCCATATTAGGCATCGATTTGCATCGTCTTTGCTCCTGAAAACTCTCGAGGACGCTTATTTCCCCAGCTATCGGACGATTTTCCCGTAGATCGCTTAACAATTGGTTCATTAACGTGGTTGTGGACTGAGGGGCCTCGCCAGCGAAAATTGACAGAAATGAAATTTTAGGTAATGATTTATATCGCTTATATGCAGCTGAAAACTGGTGATATTATGCTCTTCCAACCGTTTAGGGCGATTTTCTCGGAGATCGTCAAGCACATGCATCATGATATCGGTATCTGACTGTGTGTTGACTGTTGAGTGTTGACATCGGTCGAACTCTTCACTGCTACGATATTTGACATTATCTTGATCTGATATAAATTATAATATATTCAAACAATATATTATACACAAATTAGGCACGTTTTAAATTTACACTGTATTGTAATTAATTATAACTACGTAATGTTCGTTTTAACAAATATAGATACTGAGAACTCATTGATATGGAAATATGAATTATATAATAATATATTATTTACACTTCCGCTGCTCATAGTAACAAGATTGTTATAGTTTTTATATGTTGCAGACTTGCAGTGTGCAATAAACCTTAAATCACATATTTGTACGTATTCGGTGTGTATATACCATTTTTCCCATCAATAATTATTTATGTACATAATATTGTACCTACTCAATTATGTATCTATACATTGTTTAAATGTGTAAGTAATTTATTCAAAGAAAATTAATGATTTGACCATTATTATTAAATATAATTAACACAATTAATTGCAGAGATGTCAATATATTATGATATAAGTATATAATATATATTAAAGTACCATTGTATCAACATGTATTGATTGTCTGGCACTCTGGCGCAAGTGGATGATGCGGAGCACGCCCTATTTCAGTGAGATTGATGGTGGTCGGTGGTGAGAATGAAAAGCATTCGAGGTGGAGATCGGAAGGAATATGGAACCTGCACGCTAATCAACCTGATGACAACGAAGCAGTCAAACTGGGATGCGGTGAAAAAGTTCATGAACATGGATCACACCACTAGGGAGCCGGAAGAAAAGATCCGACAAAATAGCTAGGTTTTGTATGTTGTGCTCGGAAGGCAAAGGAACAGTCGGACAGACCCCTCTAAAATTGTCCCACTTTAATTTTCTTATAATTTTTACAAATTGAACGTAGGTATTTTTATGTACCTACTAGATAATATATACAAATTAAATAATAAAATTCCTTCTACCTGACAATATGACCAGTTGTGATATTACTTTTGATCTACTACAATTTATGTACCTAGTATACTATTAGGTATATTATATTAAATAATTTTAAATTTATATTTATTAAAAATCATATGTATAATTAGAACTTTGAAGATATCAGATTATAAATAACATATTTTTTTCGTTATATTTGGCCTGAAGCTAAAAGTATAACCTCTTAATAAATTATTATGGCTTTACGCGATTACGCAATTATGCCTCAAAATATATACTGCAGATTGCAGGTCTTGCAAAATCTTATTCATCGAGTCCTGTTTCTTCCGACGACACCTCTTCCACGGTATCCTCGCCCGACAACTCCTCATCCGACGTCTCCACGTCTGCTGATCCTTCGTTTGATAAGTCTAATTCCAATGAACCCTCATGATCCGACACCTCGGACGGAGATTCAATATCTGAACTAGACACGGCGTCGTGTTTTTTTTGGCGTTGTTTCTTTTTGCGACCACCATCGTCGCTGCCATCAGCTTCAATCGGTTCGTTAGTGTCTGCTGGTTTAGTTTTATCAGACGCAGCTGCAGCGATTGCGGCTTCGGCTGCCTCGAAAGCAGCTATTCTTTCCAAGTTATTCCATCCGTCATTCAGGACGATCGTGTTGGGATCCACTGACTCGAAACGAACATTATCCTCGTTAATTATATTTGTCACCTCATCCTGCGAGTTTTCGAGCACGTGCTTTTGTGCGACCGAATGCACCTAAAGGAAAAACCAAAAATGTTTATTCGTTTGCATGTGATGCTTTTTCCAAGTTGGAAACGTTTTTGTGGTGGCAGGCTGTCGATATAAAAAAAAATATTACTAATTGGACACATTTGATTATCAATGCTATCGTTACTTTTTTCACGGATAGGCAGTAAAATTGTATACCTACATAGTAAATCTATGGTATCTACGTACCCATAATATACATAGGCGTGCGCAGCCTCCGGTTTCAGGGGCAGCAAGAGATTAATTCGGCCCATTTTTCAAATTCACCATTAAAACCAGCCCATAATAGTTTTACTTTTTTTACTATTGGACATCAAAATTAAAATTGTATATTGGTTATTTGTTTTTTTTGGATAAAAGGTTGTAAGTACAGTAAGGTACTAAGCCACTAAAGGTGTACTTTTCTACAAGCCTATATATAAAAATATCTAAAATATTTATCTATAGTTTATCAAAACAAAAAAATCCTTTGTGGAAATATAATTTTACCGAGGCCCATTATTTAATATTTGCCGGTCCCGGTGGCCCCAAAGAAAGTCCAGGGGCAGCATATGCTGCCTCTGCTGCCCCCGTGCGCACGCCTATGATAATATATACTATATAGTACCTACCCACAGAGCAAATTTGACTTGCATATTTCTGTAGAATATATTTTGCTACCACAAAATTATTATTGTATTTAACGATTAGTAAGGTTTGTGTTAGTTGACTCTATTAACGTAGGTATTTCAAAAATAATATGTGTATAATTGATAAAAATTATTATTAAGAACAGTAAACAATGAAAAAATACAAAATATCATTCGATATAAATATAAACTAATGTTTTAATAATACCTATGTAATCCAAAGATTAGTACTATCTTTATATTATGGTTGTCGGGTTTTATGCTAAAAAAATATTGGTCCAATCGATAATAATAATAATCTTATACAATTATTCCTTTCTAAATTACAACAATAAACAAAATTAAACTGGTTTCTTATATTCCTATTTCCAGCTGTTATTTGTTGGTTTATTAAAAAAATATTGGAAAGTATTTCTTTTACCTTAAAGTACAAACTATAAAAAACATTCTACCAGAAACTACCCTAAAAAATTAAGAGTGGAATAAATCCATTGTTTTAAAACTTGATTACAAAATTAATAAAGATTAATGTATATCATTGTAATACACTAAATAAAACTATCTTATACACTCCTCGATTCGTTAAAGACTAAAGTTAATACGTATCTAGGTGCGTAACTTAATACGTAACTACGGTCGATCACCACGGTATAAGTCTACATTATGCACAATTGCACAATATAGATATCACAGATATCCATTTATATTTTTAAACAATAAAGAAAACTTAAGTTTTTATAATTTTATTTAATATATAATACTATGAAATTGTAACAATGTTTTTTCGAGTGAGGCTAGAAATATGTATTTATTTTTTTTTATACTTTAAAATGATAACCATCAACCTCTCCCCGCAATAATTGCACCCAATTACCGATTATGTTGTAAACCTACACTTAACTTTTTAACTAGTAAATTGTAATTGATTTTAAATTGGTTTAATTGGATTAATTAATATTAGTCTACAAGAATTGCTCACAAAATGATGATATAAATTATACATAGTTTGGTACCGAACTGAACTGAAAATGAGAAAAAATATTAAAAGAGTACCTAACTAAATGGATTTGTATGCCACATAATCTGAAATCCTTAGTAAATTTATTCTAAATGGTAGGTAGGTAGGTAGGCATTAACATTATAGAATGTTCTTTTTTCTTAAATACAATTATAACTTTGTGTATAAATTAAATTTAATAGTAATTTAGTTCTTTTGATCATTTAAAGTTAATTATGTCACCCATTAAAGTCTAAATGCGATATTAATAAACGATGCCAAATTGCCATACAAAAAGACTGCAATAAAAAATAAATTTGCATAGTATAATTACTGTCTTTAATTGCTGTTATTAATGCGCAAGACTTAAAGGTAAATTTAAAATCAATAGCGTAAATTAATTTTGTGTGAGATTCACTGCAGATTTCAAATCACAATTTATCGAAACAAGGAAAAGCCAACAATAATGCCTGCAGGAAAATAAAATTATTTATTTTCTTATCTTTATATTTTCGCCAAAATGTTGTCTTTTGACAGAATCATTTTTTGTACAACTTTTGTGGAATTAAAATTGCTTTTATATATTAGAAAAATAAATAATCGAAATATTAAAATTATTTAAATAGTTGTTTTTATATCTTTTAAAAGTTATAAATGTAAAAAAGATTGTCAAGTGGGCACCACTCTGCTTAATATTAGTTGTCGAGTATGTCGAGTATGTCGTTGTAATGGATGTGTTTTATTTGAATTAAATAATAAATAATTGTATATTATGAAAAACGATTCTGAGCGGAGACGTTGTGTTAGCCTTAAATTAAATTAACAAAAATTGAAAATTTCCTAATGTTATAATTTACTGCTCAAAAAGAGTCAAAATATTGCTAAAACGTTCCCATTCATGGAAAGTGCTAATATAAATGATTTTTATTTCAAAAATCGGTTTTACGTAAAAATTACCCATTTTTCACTTTTTTTTGTTTTTCTTTACACTCAATATAACTACTCGTATTTGGAATTTTCAATTTTGACCTCTTAAGAATAAAAAATAGATTCACTTTTATATCAGAAAAGATGCTGATGTAGAATCGGAGCCTTTCTACTACCCTAAATATTGCTGACAGACAGACCGAAAAAAACACACCTCATTGTAAATACAATACATTATTTCGTATTTTCGTTCCACTCAGAATTTAAAAAAATAATTATTATAAAGTAAATAATATGATAATTGATAAATTTGTATAAATATTTTTACTCAACTTTTTCGTGTTTCTTAAGTAATTCTATTATTCTTTCATTGGGCAAGGCGTGTTTTTCTTGTGTACCTTTTTTTGTCACAAGATGCAAGTCGACCCCGTCCATTATCTAAACAACAAAATATATTGAATTTATCTTCATAATTAATTGACTTGAAAAATTGTAACCTTTCCTAAATAGTCAAAGCCATTATCTTCTAACAGTTTTCTAGCTTCGTTCTTGGTCATTCCGGGCAAATTAACACACCATTGGTTAATGAAGTGACCATTTTTAAGTATATTTGGATGAACGCAATCCTTATCTTCGTAGTTACTGCACACATCTTCACCGAATGAAATGCTCATTGAAAAAATGAAGCTCACAAAGATTATGAATAGTGACTTAACCATTATTAGGTATCTGTAAAATATTACAAGCACATTGCACGTAGGTACCGTGATAAAATATATATATCGTAAATTAGTGATATTTATACAGTAAAACTCTTAAAACATAACATAAAAAAAAATTGGATTTCATTGTTGTGTAATAATTTCATTAGACTTGCGGTATTACAGACTTACGTTCAATTTGATGCGAGCAATTTATACAATAAAATTTGACTGGAAATTCAATGACAGGTCGTGCATACTATTTTGATATATATATATGCATTTTATAAGTTAATTTTATTAATTTAGACACGGTATTGAATGACTAGAAATAATTGAAGCAATTGGACAGGTGTTCAATTATTATATTTTATACCGTGAAGTATAATATATTTGTAAAAGTTACAACTCTAATAGTAGAATAGAATATATTATTCTAATTAGTTAAAAGCACGTCAATTTCCAATTTCACTGTATTGTTTATTCAGTATAAAGACAGATGTACCTACGCTTAAAACACTACAGCATAATAATGTCTATTAAGTTGAATATCATGAAGTACCTATTTATAGGTACTAGCGAGGTACATACCGAATAGATACAGTCATACAGACACCTGACAAATTTTGTCGAAATAATAATACAATATTCCTAAATTGAAATATATATTATAATAAGTTTAAATAAGAATTATTTTGTGAGGCATTTTAAAAAAATATCATCAAAAACCAAAAAAATGAAGCCTTGTACAGTTTTACATCAATTGCAATTATCAATTCGTTGTAGAGATTCCTATAGGTATATAATTATTAATTTACACCTATCACCGAAGAAACAAGAAATTAAAAACGATAAAATGGATAAAAACTGCAAACATTATCTACCTATATAGTTATTACTTATTATAAATTAGAGTTTGGTAGAGCTGTTAATTCTAAGCTAAATTGGAAATTAATTAGAAGCTACTGCCCACTAACCGTTTTAAAACTAATTTCCCTATTCAAACTTTTAATTTAAGTAAATTTTAAAACTTATTTCTTACCTATTTATTTTTGAAGAAATTTCTATCTCACGACAAAAGCAGAAATTAAACTACACCAAAAAAGTCATAGCAGCTACTTTGGAGTTTGGACTATATGTACATAACACTCATCTCCAAGAAGTCAATTATTAAATATGGCTGTGAACAGTGCTTGGAACAATAGAAGCTCTAGAGTTTTGTGAAAGTATTAGTTACTGTAACAAGTTGTTTTGTCCTATAATATTTTCCTACCACCTATGTGTATCAATATTATGCTTGAGCTTGACTTCGTCGACTATATTAACTTATTGCATAATATAAAGTATATCTGATATTGATATACTTTAGTTCTATGCAATTTCTTTTTTAAATTTATGTGAAAATTAAACACACAATTGTTTTTAAATTATGACATAAATTTAATTGTTGAAACCAACTTTTCTATTTTTTTTAGCACAAGGCCAAAATTTGGGTAAAAAGCACGAGGTCTCGTGGGTATTAAAAGGTCTTCAAAAGAGCAATACTATTGTAACTATGACATTAATGCAATCACACAAGGGAATCCTTAATGTTAAGACACCAGGCAAGACAAGTCCAATCGTAAATAATAAACTCTATATGTGATGACTTTGAACCAAAAATATCATAAAAAAAGTTAAATCTTTTTGGGGGAAGCGAAATCAAATTTTAATTTAAATATCAATAAAATTATATAATACCCATATTCACTATTTCAATAATAACACTTAGATACAAGACACACCACAGACATACAAATAAGTCTGCAGTATGTCAGTAATATGCATATTGCATACCTATGGTTATAATCAGTGTTACTATAAACAACACTTAGGGCCGTTCTTACAATGTCCGGTAAAGTCTCGGTTAACGCTAACCGACTGATAACAGATTTTATTACCGGCAGAATTCTTCCGGTTAAGTGTCGGTTAACTTTAACCGGACATCGTAAGAACGGCCCTTAATGCATCTTAACTTATTTATAAAAGTAATAGTGTTCATTTATTTTCTTTGTTCAAGTGAAAATCTTTTTAATCGTAGATAGTATTAGATTTAGATATATTATCCCATTCAATAATTTGTTTCAAATTATTAAATTTAAAAAAAAGGATTTTTATTAAAATACCATTTTATAATGTTAAAAATATAAAAAAATTTCAATTTCAAATATTAAACAGGAGTTATATTTTACTATATAATTATAAATATTTTATAAATTTTTTAATTTATTTGTAACACTATCAGTCATTTCATTTTTTTTTAGCATATTCATATAGGTATCTAATCCATCTTCTTCATCATCACTTTCTATAGGATGCTCTGTATCACTGTCATCTTTTATAACAGGTGTTCCTTCAATAGGACTTTCCGAATCAAAATATTTGTCTTCTTCATCAATGGACTTTATGTGTAAGTTATCATATTCTGGATTATTATCCACATTGCTATAGAAAAAGAAAAATGAGTACATAAAAATATGATATATATTATGCAACTTTAAATTCATACTTGTAATCATAATCTTCTTCACCACTAAGGAATTTGTGAATCATATGAGATTTAAATTCATTTAATAAAAGGAATCTTTCATTTTCATTTAGTTTTTTATTATTACACTGTTCTAGATTGAGGAAATGATCTTCTTTCCATCGACGTTTGCCAATTTTTACTGTTTCAATTTTCGGTTTACTATATTCGCCCCAAAATGCCGAAGGTGTATGAACTTCCATAGCCGTTGATGGTTTATTTGATTTATTATCACCATCATCTTCTTCTTCTTCATCATGAATTTCTTCTACTTCATGAATTTCTTCTATTTCATGAATTTCTTCCATTTGTTGTTTCCGTTTTAAATCATCTCTATTATCACGATCAATTTGTTCCAATAAAACTTCAGTTAACCTTAAACAAATATATTAAATAAATATTGTACATATATAAATAAATATATAAAAATATTTTTGTTATAATTACGAATTTTGAGCTAAATATTGATTATCGTAGTTAAACTTTTCTTCTTCCGATAGATATTGACCAACCAGTTGTTCCCAAAGTAAAGGTTCTCTATTTCGCATCTCATTATCACTAAAGTAATCACCTTTAAGAAGTTCAAGCATAGCTTGGTAACGTCGATTTTTACAAATAACCTAAATAAGTAAATTAAATCAATAATAATAGTTATAGTTGTCTATAAAGTATGTTATGCCATAACATACTTTTTTAGAATTTATTAATCGGCTTAATCTGTGTAGATGGAAATGTATTTCATAATTGTCATAATTTCGAGACTTAAAGTATTGTAAGTGATCTTCTACTAAATATTCACCAAATATGTATAAAAACTTTGAGTGACTATCATTTAAAATGTCTTCAGTGATTTTTCGTCTTTCTTCAAGTGAAAATTCTGATTGGTCTTTCTGTTGGCTTTTAAAATCACTATTTGAAGCTTTTAATACAACATGGTCAATTATATGCTCTTGAAGTGTTTTAGAGTTTTCATCAATTGTTTGGACTTCTAATTGGTGGTCTTCCATCATCTAAATAATTAAAAATAATTAATAAATTATTTTTATAGAATATGAATAATACTAAACATTATTTTATAAATACATTTTTGTAATTAAAAATACAATTACAAACATAGGGAATGGCTAACTGATCTAGAATATCTCAAATTCAAATCATCAAAAAAATCTTCAAAATTATAGTACATTAACATCACGTTTGTTGAAAGGAAATAACATTCCGTATATTGGCGTAAAGGTCACGTAAAAATGACTTTTGTAATACTTAAGGAATTTTATTAAATAGTATTTTATATGATATTCTTAAATAATAATGACATAGGTATTGTATTAACTTACCACAGTGTCCATCATTGATGCATTTGTGTTAATTACTCGGTTTATATATAATTTATAGGTATCAAATTATGTCAACTTATTAAATAATTAAATAGATTAAAAATATTAGAATTTAGATTTCAGGTATTTAAAAAAACAGTTTTAGGTTTTTTAATGAACTTAATACATTGTAAATATTGAAATTTGAGTTGTATACCTACTTGTATCACAAATCACAATGATTATAATGATAACAAAATAAAGGTGTTATCATTTTATCATATTCATAGACCTATAAAAGTATATTATGGTATAAGTTTATCGTTTATGGTAGAACTATATTGTAGTACACATTTCAAAACTTGAATAAAAATTCTGTGAATTGTGAGGATGTACTTCCATATTTAAAAATATTGTTTTATTTTTAAGAAAAGTCCGGTTACATTTATTAAATTTACCTTCAAAATAAATCGAGGAATCTAATAGTATTTATTTTAATATTTATTATGACTTTTTGATGTGTCCACAGTCCACGTCAAAGAAAAACTTGTCCTTGTTCAGTCCTATATTGTTTAATTTTTTTAATACTTGGAATTTAAACTGGTTGAAAAAATACGATTGAATATTAATTCAATGTCGAGGATAAAATTGAATTCATAAAAATAAATATTGTCATATTATATGCTTGCACAAAAATTATATGGCGTATATAAGCTAATATGGCGTAATATATGGCTGTTCGTTTGTATCAACACACAACACAAGAGTGTTCAAAAAGTTTCATGGTAGTAGGTACCTAGTATTTAGAGATCGGATATCGAGTTTATTCGGGTCTTATTTATGTACGGTGACAATTCAAATAATACTATAATGATATCGATGTGATCTATAAAAATGTAAAATATTTTTTGATTGGTATTGGTAAACACAATACACGGATACACTTTACAAGGTCTATATACCACACAACGGTATAAATGTATAATACACTATTTAGTAATACACACACGATGTAAATGGTGATGGGGTGCGAGAGAGTTTGAGAGACAATAGAATTGGGAGGTGTAAAAATCCAATTACAAAACGATACAATCAGCGGTGGTAAAACGGCGGCGATTTTCTACGTCATAGTCGTCGGTTCGTATATCATAATAATATTATTATGGTATTGTACCGTAGTTGCCATGGCACCAGGTTTGAGTTGTATTTTGATAACGCGTTTACATTGTGTTGTGTACATCAACTACTACAGTCTGTGTACTTGTGTATTTATTTTAATAAGGTCCGGACAAATTATTACGAACAAAGGAAATCATTTTTCGTTTGTTTTTTAATTGTACAATATTTCTGTTTGGCGCCTGTACGTCGTCATATCGCTGGGATTCGTCATTAATCGTTTTACACGCCAGCGCCGGCACAGTTTTAAATTTGTTATCTTAGTTTCTTCCGAGAACATTAAGTGCCATTGAATTTACAGCATCGGTAAGCTCGCTAAAATAGTTATTTATATCCAAAACAAAGTTTTGTGAAACACATGCACCGTTCTTTACCATTAATAAATAAGTACCTACTCGATAGAACGGGTATTAGCAAAAAATGTACGATAATCTTAAAAAATTGATTAGATAGGTGGTATATTATATTTTAAAAAGAATTTCTTTAAAACACCGATTGCCAAAAGTGAGTGCAAAAAAAATTCTATACAATCACTGAATTTACTTTATCATTACTTTTTGAGGTTTCTAAATATTAAAAAAATAACCATTCAGGTCAATGATTGCTTGCTAACAAACCTTGTAGATATTATAGTGGGGTTCCTATAGTAGGTATTGTTATTTCCACAATATTATTATGTTTCACATAAATATTTAAACAAAAAATTGATTCAATGTTAGTAATTTTGTTGTGAATGGACGGATTGAGGAATCATTCTGTCTGAAATTGAAGAAATTGAGATGATTTTTGTTGAAAAATTAAATAATATTATGAGAAATAAATAATGCATTGTACTTGTAAATATTTTGGTTTGTAGAAGCAAAAAAATTTCAATTTAATATAATTGAATTTGAATACCTACCTAGGTACCTGCTATAACACATTTTATTTAATAAATTAATTATTGTATATTAATGAAAACATACAAATAAAACAACTCAAAATCTGATAATAAATTAATAAAATACAGAATAATACTTAGAATAGGTATATTATGGGGAGATACATTTATATTGTTTACTTTTATGTACCCATCTGGCTATCTAGTTATTAACTAAATATTAATAATTCTTAATTGTATAATTTTTCTTAGTTTAAATTTTATTTAGTTTACAATGTAAGTAGGTTAGGTTCATATTTCATAATACAATCAATCTAATTCCTTCATTATAATAATTAAACTCAAACCTCAATCATTTTCTAAAATCTCTGGATTAGTTTTATAAACTGCTTAGGTACTAATACTTTTTGGTTTTTTGTAGGAGTTATAAGATATTTTGACTTATTTAAAATTTGAATAAATGTTTTTTACAGTTATTGATTAATTTGTAATACTTTTTATTTTATTTATGGTTTATTTTTATAGGTTGTGTTGTTGTATATTATAAAAATGGTATTAATTCATGTTAAGTATGGCGACGATAGTCAATTTTTGTATGAGGCATCGCTGGAAACTCCTGTTGACGAATGCACATTGAATATTACTTCAATCTATAACGGCCGTTTGAAAATTTCCAGAATCTGTAGTGGTAATAATTATCAACTTATAATAAAGAACATTGTTGTTGATTAGGTATTTAGTTTTATTATCATTACTATTATTAATAATTTGTTTGTTGTTTTTTCTTTAGAAATGGAAGAACTTAAAAAACATGGTACATTGTTGCCTCCTGAGATAATCGGGTTGACTGATGAACAAGTTGTTGAACTTAAATTGATTGATAAGTGGGGTGAAACATGTATACCAAGTGGTGGTTACACATTTCACAAAGACCCAATTGGACGCCGGAATGGAAAACAACCTAATGAACGTATGCAAAATGTGTTGACTAAAACAATTGAAGAGGCCAAGGCTTGCGTGTCCAAAGTAAATATTACCATTATAAGTTTTTTTTTAACTACTTGCGTATTTTTATAAACTATGTGTGTTTTATAGAAATTGGTTCAGTCTCAGATTTCATTAACTCAAAAGAAAGTTCAAGAAGCTCTTGATATACTTAGAGGTGCTATTATGATTGTTTATCCAATGAATTTACCACCACATGATAACATAAGACTTGAGATTGAAAACAATGAAGATCTTACCGGGACTCATGCATCATTAGAGGTATGAATACATTTTTTACTCTTAGTTACATTACTTCAATTTTAGTTTTTGTATTTGAGTGAGTATTCTTTTGATTGATTTCAATTAGTTCAATTATTATTTCAATAAGTAATAATTGTATTGAACTTCCTACTTAGGTGATCGCACCAAATGTAGCTCAACTTTGGTTTTCTGGTCGTGAGTTAGTACGAGAACCAAATAAAAAAATGAAGGACTATTTGGGACGCAATGAAAAAACAAAAGTTGTGTTGAAGCTTACTAAGACAGGTTCCGGACCCCCAGCTCGTGAACCACCGTTAAGTGAACAAGACCGCAAATTGTTAATGGCTGAAGCTTTTAAAAAACAAGAAGAGTTAAAGGTAAGTTAGTTTTATTAACTGACTTAGTTTGTGTACACATTGTAATTGTAAATAGTTTTTTTGTAATGGTAAACAATTTTGAAGATTTTATTATTATTATGTAAGATAGAGCAGATTAAGCAGAGTATAATTTAATATACTTAGGTATATCCATGAATATTATTTATTTTAAAGTTGTTTATTTATAGTTTATATCAAATCGAAGTGCTTATTATATACAATGAATTTTTATTGTGTTGTTGATCAAAGTGTGTGTTTGTATTAAATGGTAATAATTATTTTTACGTTAAGTGATTATTTCAACAGTTTAATGTTGAGCGATGTTACTACATTATTTACATTTTTAACATTGCATATTCAAGGCTCCTGTTTAATTTATTAATTGATTATTACATACCATTATTTTATGATAAAATATATTATATTTTTTATGTACATAGAACTTTCAATCCATCTCATTCATTGATTATTTATAATACATTACCTCTGTAATATTCTCATCTTCAATCTAAGCCAATTCCATTAAAACGCATCATTAAGTATGTATAATTATTTATTGCGGTAGTAAAGTTTAGTAATGGATACTTAAATTTAATTTTGATCAATCTTTGTTTTATTGATTGGTTGGTTCTACTGTCTTAGTGTTTATAGTATAAAGTTAAGAAGAATATTCATTGTTAATAAATAATAATATTATGTTAAATAAGATTAGGTTAATAAAGTACATTACGGTTTTTTTAATACAAATATCAGATATTATTATGTATATAAATCAAAGCCATTAATATCTGAAAACATAAATATGTGTATCTATAAGTGGTAATTTATAATTTATTTAATATTATAATAATGTATGTAATGTTTATGTTTGAATTTGGCAAAATTTAAAAACAGTAAATGGATATTAATTTTATTGAAAAGTAGTATACTACTATAGTACTTTTGTGTTAAACATTAATATAAAGGGTGGTAATACTATAATACTAATAGTAAATGTCATATAATTTTATGGTAATATGAGAATATATTGGATATATTGTTTTTTTTTATATTCCATTCCAAATAGATCACTAACCAAAGAAGTCAATTAGACTCTTGTATTATAGTTCATTACTAATTATTTTTCTTGTTACTCTAATTATCCAAAATAAACATATGTATATGTATAATATTATATATAATATAATACATATAATATACATAGGTATATAATACATATATAATTATGTATAATATTATATTCAATTACCTTCAAAGTCTCAAGTCAATTATTACTTTTATGTTAAGGTATAACTTAAAAACATTAAATAGTCCTTAAAAAGCTATTAAAAACTGAGATTTATTTATTATTTTTTTCCAATTGTATCTCACTAGCCACATTATCCTTTATGTATCTTATATTTTTATCTGTATAATATTATGTGTTTCCGTTAAAAGTATGGAATCAATTATTTTACAATTTAGCATTCTGCTTTAGTTCCAAGTTTAAATTATTTCTAAGCATTAAATTACATTCAACGATTCAACTATATTTGAAATTGTATAAAATAACTTGTTTTTGCAGTGGTCCAGTGGTGCCCTAACTGCAGCACGCGTCATAGACTCATAAACCTCGCCTAATTAGGCTTACACCTAACGTTTTTACTAATATAATTATAGGTTTTATTCCTTCCTTCTGCTCTTCACATTATGTTTCATTATATTGTGCTGCTTGCGACTTATCGCTGGCCATCCCTGTTTTATACAATCCCTGATTGGGAATAGTTAAAGTATAATATAAAAATAATATTGAGTACCTACATTCAGGAACAAATTAATAAATTTTATATTTGAAATATTTTTTACATACATTTATGAAAAAATGGAAATCGATACTATAAATACTTAGAAATATAAACAATATAAAAATAGGTGTTCATAACACTTTTTATATAATACTAGCTGTCTTGCCCGTGCCAAAGATTTTTATTTTTTTTAAATTAATATATTTAAAAAAAAAATGTATTTGCCATATTTTTACTAATTGCTAATTATAATTATTGTAACCACTAAGGCACTAACCAATAGCAACCACATTAATAAACAAAATAAAAATGTGAGGTTTCCTTTATCTTTTCTTTTTCCTGTTTGAACCGACAGCACCGCTGGGATTGCTTTCGCATTCTTCTGCGACGCCTATGTATCCTTTATCTATATACCTATAAAGTATAGGTATTGAAAAAATATGCTATAAAAACCCTCCAAGTCTCAAGGAATGTATATTGTATTGATATAACTTTTATTGAAAACGTCCTGTAGTTTTGAGTCTAGCTAACAGACAGAAAAACATCCATTTATATGTATATAATACCTACCAAATACTATATTACACGATAATACAGGACACTGGCATAATATAAAAACTGGTGAACTATTTCTTATCAAAATATCCTTACAATATTGATCCCCGATATTATTATAATTATAGTTGCCTATTTTACTCCTTACATTATTCAGTTAACATGAACAATATAGCAAAATATAGGGAAATTATATACAATCTCGGGGGGCAATGATAACAATTTGTTTGCAAATCGCCACTGTTTTAGTACAGAGTGTCCGTTATTGTCATATAATATATGGATATATAATTATTATTGAGTCTATTAACTTCAGATAAACAAACATCCATTCTTAGTTGTATAACCCCCTCAACTTCGTCCTTGAAAAAATATAAAATTAAGCACTTATAGGCAGTGGCGTATCCAGGGGGGGGTTTGGGGGTTGTAACCCCCCCCGAAAATTGTTAAATTATAACAACGTTATCATTAATAAATCATTTTAAGATAAAATTCCACAAAAATAAATTATAACCCCTCCCGAAAAAAAATTCTGGATACGCTACTGCTTATAGGTGTATATTGGTTCTATAGAGTACCTCAGTTCACAGACAAATCTACAACGATGTTCGCCGCTAATTAAAATCGAACTAAAGAAAACGAGATGGACAAGTACCTGTGGTGGATTGGATAATAAATATATCGTTTTGTATACATCCGACATGGTTCAAACAGGCACTTAAAAAGGTGCTTATTTTTATTGTTGGGGGGGGGGAATCGCTCCGACTGCCCCCAAAATTATGTTCCTGGGTTCGACTAGAGAAACTTTCCTGGTATCTTTTGGAAAAATTTGAAATTTTCACGAAATCAGTCAAGTAGTTTTGGAGTTTGCTGTTATAAACATACATTCAACTATCATATTTGTTTTAAGATATCATTTAATTATTCGAAGCCATAAATTAATATTTGATGGATACTTTTACCACATCTGCCCAAGTATCCAATAAAAACCATTTATATTAAAAAAAAAAAACAGTAAAAATGTCTACTTCTATTAATCCCGTCAGATGTGTATGACAATGACAACAATTTATAAACAATAAAAATTTTTCAATTTCCATCGTATATCTCAAAATATTTTGAGTGATCCACTTTATGTGGCCTGTGAAATTTTTCCAATTTTTTTCCGTTTAATTCGAACTATTACAAATATAAAAAAAAAAATAAACCAAATCGGTCCAGCCGTTCTTATATCGCAAGTGATCCTGTTACCAACGGATTGCATTTAATTTTATTGTATAGATAACTAGTTTACAATACTTTAAAAATTAAACTAATTTATTAACTGAGGAACTGACTATATTTGAAACTTAGAATAGGTACCTACTATTTATTACAAGATTAACTTAGGTAACATTATGAAATATGAATTACACTATACACCATTCTTATGACAAATACATCGGTATTTCCAACTTTTATTTTTTGGTGACGGGGAGTTTAACAAGTTTTAATTATTGTTCAGGACTTTTAAATTGTTTGAATTGTTGTACCAACAGGCAACAGGCTATATTTGTAAATCCATATAAATATACTGAAACATTATTCATTAAATACGATTATACTTAAGTAAAAAAAAACGTACAATAATGAATTAAACAATTCAAACTATACTTATATAAACTTTAAGCATTTAAAAAATTTATTTGATGCTAGCATTCAAAAATATTGGGTAAATAAATATAATTTTTTCTCTTGGTTCTATTATTGCACCACAATAACAAAATAAAAATCATAAAATGACCATGATATTACATTAAACAGACATTTTCATTTTTGATATGAATTATCAAACATAGTGTGCTGATTATCAGGATAGTGTCTCGACTTGACAATAAATGTGAAAATTACAGTGTATTCACTCTTAATTTGTATTGAGAATATTGTTATCTTATACTACGTCTTATCAACTATCAACAGACAAAACTTACAGTCAACGCATTAACTTCTTATTGAATCTTTATTTTATAAGTTATAATGATTTAAAGTGATAACCCGTGGGAAGTGGAAGCACCCCCCCCCCCCCTTAAAGATACCACTGGTGGTACATTTAGTAGTAAATAATATGTGATAATAGAGGCGAAATGGAATCTAGGTCAAAATGTCTATATCTTTTTTGCTCTCAAGACGAAATATTTTTAGTTTTTCATGCATCCTTTTATATTTTGGTTTTTTTTATGGTAGATCCAACCTCCCCAACACTCTTTGGGAAGTTTTGCTTTGTTGGTTACGATATCCATGTTTATTTTTTTATTAGTATCCAAATGATTAGATGACTATGTATTACCTAGTAATTGACGTATAAGTAGTGAATGAAAAAAATAATCATCCCATAATATAGTATATTATTTAATTTTAATTTACAATTAGCACATATTAAATTTAATGGTTTTTAGATGAAAATATATTCTTTATTTAAACAAAGTATTACATTTTTTTTTTAAATTTTGATATTTGTTCATTTGGATATTCATTATTTCACTATAGATATTTTACAAACTGATAAGGTAACTGAGTAAATATAAGGAATTTATTAAGTTTCTTGTTAAATTATAACTTATATTATGGTTTATTGCCTTAATTTGGTTTGTGTATAAATTAGGTACCTAGGTACCTATAATAGATATATCA